AGAGGAGGCTCCGGGGTGACCTTATAGCGGTCTTCCAGTATCTCAAGGGGGCCTACAGGAAAGATGGGGAGAGGCTGTTCAGGAGGGCCTCTTGTGATAGGACAAGGGGTAATGGTTTTAAAATAGAGGGAGGTAGATTCAGATTGGATATTAGGAAAAAATTTTTTACCATGAGAGTGGTAGAACACTGGAACAGGTTGCCCAGAGAGGTGGTGGATGCTCCATCCCTGGAGATGTTCAAGGCCAGGTTGGATGAGGCCCTGAGCAACCTGATCTAGTTGGAGATATCCCTGTTTGTTGCAGGGGGGTTGGACTAGATGACCTTTGAAGGTCCCTTCCAGCCCTAACCATTCTATGATTCTATGATATCCTATGATAAGGCCACCTGCCTAGGGGATGAAGGGAAGGTGGTGGATGTATTTTTTCTGGAATTTAGTAAGGCTTTTGATACTGTACAGCATCATTTTGGACAAGTTGTCCAGCTGTGGGATGAGTGGGTTCACGGTGCTGTGGGTGAAGAACTGACTGAATGGCAGACCTGAAAGGGTTGTAGTGAATGGGGCTACATCTGGCTGGTGACCGGTCACTAGTGGTGTTCCTCAGGGCTCAATTCAGGGTCAATTCTGTTCAATATATGTATCAACGATCTGGATGCAGGAGTTGAATGAACCATTAGCAAATTTGCTGACGATACCAAACTGGGAGGTGCTATTGACTCTCTTGAGGGACAAGATCCTTTCCAGAGAGATCTAGATAGATTGGAGCATTGGGCCATGATTAATGGGATGAAGTTTAACAAGTCGAAATGCTGGATTCTGCACCTAGGATGGAGTAAGACTGGGCACAAGTATAAACTGGGAGAGGAGAGGCTGGAGAGCAGCCCTGCAGAAAGGGATCTTGGGGTCCTGGTTGGCAGCAGGCTCAGTGTCAGTCAAGTGTGCCCTGGCAGTGAAGAAGGCAAACCCCATCCTGGTGTCCATCAAACACAGTATAACCAGGTGGTCAAAAGAGGTGATTATCCCGCTGTATTCAGCATTGGTGCTGCCTCACCTGGAGTACTGTGTGCAGTTCTGGGCCCCACGATTTAAGTAGGGATCTTGGGGTCCTGGTTGGCAGCAGGCTCAGTGTCAGTCAAGTGTGCCCTGGCAGTGAAGAAGGCAAACCCCATCCTGGTGTCCATCAAACACAGTATAACCAGGTGGTCAAAAGAGGTGATTATCCCGCTGTATTCAGCATTGGTGCTGCCTCACCTGGAGTACTGTGTGCAGTTCTGGGCCCCACGATTTAAGTAGGATGTGAAGGTCATTGAATGCATCCAGAGGAGGACAACAAAGCTGATGAAAGGGCTGGAAGGCATGTCCTGTGAGGAGTGGCTAAGGGCTTTGGGTTTGTGTAGTTTGGAGAGAAGGAGGCTGAGGGGTGACCTCATTGCTCTCTATGGGTTCCTGAGGAGGGAGGTGCTGATCTCTTCTCCCTGGTATCCCGTGATAGGACACATGGGAATGGTTCAAAGCTGCGCAAGGACAGGTTCAGTCTGGACATTAGGAAGCATTTCTTTACCGAGAGGGTGGTCAAAGACTGTAACAGGCTTCCTAGAGAGGTGATCAATGCCCCAAGCCTGTCAGTGTTTAAAAGGCATTTGGACAATCATAGAATCAATTAGATTGAAAAAGACCTGTAAGATCATTGAGTCCAACTGTAAACCTAACACTGTCAAGTCCATCATTAAACCGTGCCCCTAAGCACCACTTCTACACGTCTTTTAAATACCTCCAGGGATGGCAACTCAACCACATCCCTGGGCAGCCTGTTCCAATGCGTGACAGCCCTTTCATTGAAGAAATTTTCCCTAATATCCAATCTAAACCTCCCCTGGCGCAACTTGAGGTCATTTCCTCTTATCACTTGTTACTTAGGAGAAGAGATCGACACCCACCTCGCTACAACCTTCTTTCAGGTAGTTGTAGAGAGCGATAAGGTCTCCCCTCAGCCTCCTTTTCTCCAGGCTAAACAACCCCAGTTCCCTCAGCCACCCCTCATAAGACTTGTGCTCTAGACTCTACACCAGCTTCGTTGCTTTTCTTTGGACATGCTGCAGCACCTCAATGTCTTTCTGATAGTGAGGGGTCCAAAACTGAACACAGTGCCTTAACAACATACTTTAACTTTTTTTTAGCCCCAAATTGATCAGGCAGTTGGACTAGATGATCATTTTAGGTCCCTTCCAACTGAAATATTCCATTGCATTCCGTAACTGCAGAGAGGGAAGACAGCGCAAAGCGGAAGTTGAACCACAGCAGAAGGCACGTAAGCTGGCACAGGGTTTTTGGTACATTTGTGTCTGCCTGGCTGCAGAGGCAGTACCCGAAGTCTTGACAAGGCTCGTGGCACTCGGGAACGGAGGAGGTCAGTGTGAGAACCTGCATTGCCAGGCGGAGCGAGGGGATGCGCTGCTGGTTACCTTTTAAAACCTTCAGAACAAACTATATTTAAAAATGCCAATATCAAAAAACTTTCTTATTAATCTGGTGGCAGAATAAAGCTCTGAATTTCCAGACAGGGGCACAGCACAAGACAAAACAAAAAAGCACAGAGTAACAGGGATTTTCAGGTGGTGCCAAGCACCCCATGCTCCCCACAGCTGCACACCCCTGCTCGCGTCCTGCCTGCCAGCCTTTTTGGGGAGCTCCAACCCTTTGTGCAAAGGCAAAGGGTAATAATTTATAAGGCAGGCTCTCTTCAAAGACTGTGAGAGTAAATGAGAGGACATCCTGGAGGGATATGTACATGTATAGACATTTCCTTACGTTTTATCCTTCTCTACTGAAGCAGCTTCCTTAGGAATTCACAGGATGTTGTTCTATGGAGAGAACTATTTGTGGATGCAGATATATTTGAAACGGGAAGTTTGAACACCACATGTTTCCATTTTCTGTTGCCTTTTTCCTCTTCTTTGCTTTATATAAAGAGTAGCAGGTAAAAACCTGGCACCTGACTGAAAGGAGTTATCGCATATTGGTGTGGCTATTAAATATCTCTCGATGATTAGGATCTCTGTTATTTAGTGACACTCCACTTATGACGACCATGATCTGCTTTTCAAACGTTTTCCTGAGCAGTGGTTTGGTTTGGAGCAGTGCGGTGTCGTCAGGAAGTAATTAACACTCGGCTTGGGCGTTAATAGGGCAGTTATGTGCCACTGCAGTAAATCCTACTGCTACAAGTATGGTGTGAAAGTCCTTACAGTGAACGGGATGTTGTAGCTGGTGGATTGATTACTCACAGCAAGTTTTTAAATTTAATTCCCCACTATAACAGAGAAATGGCTGAAGAGTTGTGCAGCGTTGTTTTATTTTATCCTTCTTGCTTTTTGTATGTTAAGTGAAAGGGCAACAGTGCACGTGCACATGAGTTTAAAAGAGAATTCGTGTTCCCTGGAATGCAAACCACGGATGCTGCGATCCAGAAGTGATCCGTCAGCAGAACTCATCACTTCACACACTCCCATGGGGCTTGCAAATTTAATGTATCAGTATTAAAATCTCTGTTCACTGTTTTTTTAGGGAGTAAACATAATAGAGCGCCAGTACATGCCAGACCGCACACCATCGTGGACAGGCATAGGATTTGTAAGGGTCCCTGAGGGCGCATACTTGGAATTCTACATTGACAACATCCCCTACTCCATGGAGTATGACATTCTGGTCCGCTATGAGCCGCAGGTAGGTCTGTGAGTACAGGCATTGCTACCTCTCGGTGCATGACTGACAGAAGCCTGGCACTTCCAGGAGTCATCAGAACTCAAAGACAAGGATGGATGCTCAGTTAAATGTCTGAGATGTGTGAAAATCCAAGAAGACGTTGACTTTCGTTAGTATTATTTGTTTTAAAGTTTTGTTCATTATTGTGTTGTTTCAGCACCTGTCTAATGAGCAAATTAAAAAGTGACAAGTCCTGTCAGGATATATCAGAATATAAATTTGGCATCAGACAGACGGGCTTCTGATGGGTGGAAGCATAAGATGGGTTATGTACCTCAGGAGACAAATTGCCCGTCTTGAATGTTGAATGCCCGCAGCCAAGAGTTTGCAAGCAGTGGGTTTTGACTGTGAATAATTCACAGGGTAAAGGAAGAGAAAAAAATCCCCTCAGGTCCTTACCTAGAGCTTGGCAGCAATTGACTGCAGTGAAACACTCAGGTGCAGTACTCAGAGGTGGGGGAAGAGGAGGTTGCCAAATCCCCTGCTGATGCCGTGCCGCAGATGGGATTGCTGACCACCTACATCTAGTCGTGGTTTTTTGGGAAGGAGGGAGACAGGCTGTCATGCTGGAGGATGTCCAAGGGCACTTGCCTTGTCTTATCTCCGCCCAAACCTGCAGCCAGTACATGCTCCATTGATGCTGGAGCTGCAGCTCCATTCTCCCTGAAGCACAGTGAACACCCTGTCTGTCACACGCTTTTCCTGGCCTGAGCTCCGGATGCTCCCGGGAGCTTACGGCCATTGCTTGATGCTGATCAGCCTTTTTTCCCCCCAGTTGCCGGATCAGTGGGAAAAAGCTGTGATCAGCGTCTCGCGCCCAGGCAAGATTCCCACGGGTAGCCGCTGTGGCAATACAGTTCCTGATGATGATAATCAGGTCGTCTCGCTGTCGCCCGGCTCCAGGTCAGTATAACTGGATGGGCCAAAAGGAGAAAAAAACATTTCAAAAATTGAAACAGAGTAACATCACGTTTTCAGTTTGCTGTGGCCTCTATGAAAGTTAATGAAATTTTAATTTCCAGTGGGTTATGAAAAGATTTTTAGCATTGTGTCTGTAGACTCAAAGCTTTTAAGTTTATTCTCATTGTCTGAATTGTTTTGTTCAGTGAGTAGAGGTGGGGACGTGTTTGCCCAGCCTGTGAGTGAACATCGGTACGACTCTTTACCTTGTGATAAGCTTTTCCGGTTCTGACTTGCACAAGCCTCCAAACGGCCTCGTTCACATCGTAGCTTTTGTTCTGCCCGGTTTGGGCTGCTTTCCGTTATCTCGATTGCTTTATAGGGCCACCTGAAACGCTTTATGGTGCTGGACGTTTGAAGTAAGAATTGTTTCCTGTTCCTAATCCAGGTATGTTGTTCTCCCACGACCTGTCTGCTTTGAGAAGGGGCTGAATTACACCATCCGCCTGGAACTAACCCAGTACTCCTCGGTCGACACAGAGACGGAAAGCCCATACACGCTTATTGACTCCGTGAGCAGAAATTATTTCAGGGATGCTCTGTGGGAAGAGTGTATTTAAAAGCCTGAAAGTTTGCATCTCCTCTGGGATGTGTCTATGTAAATCCAAAGTAATGTTTTACAACATTGTTGCTTACGACTGAAGCCAGATTTTAACTGAACAATGTAAAGCAGCGTGGGTTTCTTCAGCCTCAAAGTATGTGGGTTGGTTTTTTGTTGAGAGGCTTTTGTTGTGTTTTACAGGACTGCAGCTACTTCCACAGACCTGTCATTTCTTTGAGGAGGCTAATGAGTGCCATATGTGTCATGAATGTCGACCTTTTTCTTTTGAATGGGTAGAATTTGGTAGATTTTGTAAGAATTCGGTAGATACCAGAACTATTCCACCAAAAACTGCAGAAATATCATCATTTCCCTTCCAGATTCTGTATGGCTGTTTACTTTTTGGCCAGAAAAGGATGATAGGAAGCGGGATGATAGTGAATTTTCACAATTTTGTTGGAGCCTAGCTATAAATAGTGACACTTTGTCATTGTAAAATTATTTTGTAGCTTGTTCTCATGCCACACTGCAAATCGCTGGACATATTCACAGTGGGAGGCTCAGGCGAGGACGTGGTCACGAACAGTGCTTGGGAAACTTTCCAAAGATACCGGTGTCTGGAAAACAGCAGGAGTGTTGTGAAAACCCCCATGACGGACGTCTGCAAGAACATCATATTCAGCATTTCTGCTCTATTACACGAGACTGCGTTATGTATGTAACCAGAGCAGTTTGCATGGGGCAGGTGTGCGCATGGGATGAGGCAGGTGGTTCACATCCTGCGCCGTGGTACTCACTCCCCTCGATGCTTTTCTCTGCTCAGCGTGCCAGTGTGACCCCCAGGGCTCCCTCAGTTCAGTGTGTGACCCCAGCGGAGGACAGTGCCAGTGTCGTCCCAACGTTGTTGGAAGACAGTGCGACAGATGTGCCCCTGGCACCTTTGGGTTTGGGCCGAGCGGATGCCGACGTACGTTAAACCCTTGGCGCTGGGCTGGGCTGTGGTTGGGGCCGTGTGTTTAGGGAGTGCTGGGGAAACGCAGCCCCTCTCTCCCTCTCCTTGCAGCATGCGAGTGCCACGTCCGAGGCTCTTACAACACCTTCTGCGACGCGGAGACAGGCCAGTGCCACTGCTTCCCCGGGGTGTACGGGCGGCAGTGCGACCGCTTTTTGGGGCTTCCCCAACTGCCAGCCCTGCCACTGCAACGGCCACGCCGACGACTGCAGCCCCTACACCGGGGAGTGCCTGAGCTGCCGGGACCACACGGCGGGGCACAACTGCGAGAGGTACGATGCGTGCGCTCCCTCCTCGGCCTCTCTCCTTCCCCCCGGCAGGATGCATACAGCAGCCATTCCTCTCCGGTGCTGGTGCTCGGACGGGTGTGAATCCATGGAGAAAGTCCTCGGACTGTGGGAGCCAGAGCAGCGCTGGTGGTCCTGGAGGAGAATGGGAGCGGGGACACCTTCTTTCCTGCCTGTGGCCTCCCGCCTCCCAGCAGCACCTGCCCAGACATCTGGGAGCGTGTTGCAGGACCTCAGGGCTTCAGAGAGGCTTTCTCCATTGCAAGTCTCTTGAGAGGCATCTGCCTGGGGTCTCCTGGTCTCACACTGGCGTAAGCCAGCCAAATTTGCCTCTGTGGGCACAGCTGCTCGGAGTGTGAGTGGCGCAGGAAGGCTGTAGGGATGTTTCTATGCTTTGGTTCTTCATGGTGGTTGGAAAGCTGAGCGTAGTTAGAACAAGGCTTCAGTCCATTTGCCTGCAGTCCCCTGCATGCCATGTACTCCGTCACGCAGGTGCCAGGCTGGCTACTACGGAGACCCTGTCCTGGGATCAGGCGACCACTGCCGCCCCTGCCCTTGCCCTGATGGTCCTGAGAGCGGACGCCAGTTTTCCAGCGGCTGTTACCAGGATCCAGTCACACTGCAAGTTGTGTGTGTCTGTAGCGTGGGATACATAGGTACTTAATGGGTGCATGGAGTGGGGCTGGTTGGGTTGAACCTACGAGTGGGGAGGGGTGTGTTCATGTGGGATGTTGGATGTGACCGCAGCACCAGCATCAATATGTTGCTGCTGGAGCTTGGCAGCTCTTGGAAAGCTCTAGTGCTGAGTGGCTTGCGCAGGCGATGCCGGCACCAGTGTGAACGTCATCCCCAGCAGCGTGGTGAGGGATGACCAGCGGTCGGCAGAGGTGGACAGAACGGCAGCGGAGCCGAGGGGATGAGCGTGCTGGCAG